CTAAAACCATAAAGACCTGTCTACTTCGCTTACACTGAGCTTAAAATTTTTGTCAGAGGAAACTCCACAATGAAGAAAGGCAACTAGTTATCCTGGCGAGCACTGTAGTTGCATTACTATCTCTCCTTATATCAAAATGGCGCAATTTCCTTCCTTATTCCGGGAGATCATGATAGCTGAGGCATCCACTAAAATCCTTGGAAAACATTGGTTTCTCCATCAGAGGCTAAAAAAATTTAGAAATAATCTTTGTCACACAACTATTCCTGTGTTACAATGTGGCAGAACCTAAATAATACAATAACTGAATTACTGAGGGGTTTCTGAAAAAGACTTGCTAGAGCATCAGAAATGGTAATTACCTGATCAGGTGCATTTCTCATGCCTGAATTTTAGAGACCTAGCATGGCAATCCTGGACTAGAGCTAGTGTGACCTCCAGCCTGAACCTTGGAAGTATTGAATGGTACCCCCAAACTGGTAAAACCTGCTAATTTAGTGAGTAAGCATTCTGTAACCTCCCCCAAGTTGTTGATAAAGTTTTGGAAAAGGACAACACCCAGGACAAGACAACTGCAATGCTTATTACTGCCCTCCATGCAGATCACAACACATTAGTATCTACCTTCTGAGCCCAACTACCCAGGCAGTTTACTTTTTATACTTACCTGTTTGTCCACTCCTCATGGCTGTAATATCCTAACTAGGCTACAGGAATACTGTGGGAGAGAGTCAGAAGCCTTGCTGAAGTCAAGGTAAATGATATTTTGTCTCCTCCCATCATCTATAATTCTAGACATTTTATCATAAAATGGCAATCGGATTGGTCAGGCATCATTGACCCTTGGTAAATCCATGGCCCCTTTTATTAAAGACAAGTGCAACACTTGCACTCTCCCAGTCATCAAGGATCTCTCCAGTCTCCAAAACCTTTCAAACATTGCAGAAGATGACGCTGCAAGAGAATCAGTTCTCTCTGCATGCACGCCATCTTGTTGCCATTCGCTCTTTGTAATTCTTAACTGAAGCCGAGCTTTGGCATTCCTGACACAGAAAGCTTGACACGTTTCCTGGCTCAGACATCATTTTGAAATTTCTTCTTTGTAGCCTGTATCTGCTTCCAACTCTTCTATACTGCTTTTTCATTGAAGCTCTATCACAAGTAACCTGCCTAGCTAAGCCAGGATGTTTATCTTCCTGAGTATCAGGACTGATCATTCCTTCATTTGGAGGGTACAGTCCATAAACTTGATCAAGCTTTTCTGGGTAACTTTACCCTTCAGATCTAGCTCACATGGGATCCTGTGAGATCCAGCTGGGTGCCACCTTTAATTGTCCTCTTCAGAAGCTGTTGCTGACACCCTCTGGAAATCTTCACTGCTTCAATCCTGCCACACTTGTCTTTCAGCAGATACCAGAGACATAGAAGTTCCCCTCTTTCAGACCTACTGGATCCTTCAGAATTGTCCACAGGACTTCTGACATCCTTCCAGCCCTAAATCCCTTAAGGTTCTTAGTTTTCTAAACTCTTAAAACTAGCAGTCCCCTTTAGTGCTCAGAAAGTCTCATTGTATTAAAAACAGAATATGAAATTTCCATTACATGCAAAATGTGGTATGTTGTCCAGGAATATGTTGGAAAAAAACCCAACCTTTTTTTTTAAAGATGATTTCAGTGCAAAAATAATGCTAGTTCTTAAATTATTCCATTTCACCTTATTCACCAAGCTCAAGGCATAATTATTTGAATGTCTTCCCTGAAACAGCTGAATATAATGAATTCACAGGTTTCTTTGCTCATCTCCACAAAAAAAAATTGAGACCCTGTCCTTCTGAACTCCATGAGAGAAAGGAAAAAAAAGAATGAGACACAGCTGATATATTTGAATTAATGAGAACAATTTGGAGATGCCCATATGTTTTTTAATTGGGGCAGCACGAGAAAAGGGATATATTCTCTGTTCAGGTTGTTCTCTTTTAGTCTAGTTTTTATGAAATGATATGAAACAATGAAATTCTGTTCAATTTAGTCATCTACATTTGATGCTGAAGGCCTCTCAAACAATAGAGCTTAGAAAAGTTTGTCTTTCATCATTCCGAATTCTTGCAAGGAGATCAAAATCTTTTCATCTTACAGCGTATCTGGTTCATGTCCCCCTTTATCAGCTTTGCTTCTTTGCTAGTATTTATCACCCTGTCTAGTTTTATGGGGGTTAAGGCAGGACATGTGTGCATGGATTAATTCGATGCAAGAGCTTCTTCAAGCTCTGTTCATAATTTCATTACTATTTTACTCTGGATCTCTGAATAGACATAGCATTGATTTTTGTATAGTGCAAGTTATTACTTAATGAAAGAGACAAAAATGCTTTATAGAAAAAGAGAACACTTTTTGTACAACAAAAGAAACTTTGATGTCTAAATAACCATTCTGTCAGCTCTGAGTTGGCTTATGAAAGGGCTGTGCTATAGAACCACGTCAATCAATCACTAAAGCACCAACATCCCTATTACTGAAAAACTGTTTTCCTAATGAAACTATACACTGCAGTCATGTTATCTTTAAAGTATTCCTTCAGCATAAACTCTCTTCAGGATTCTACTATAAAAATATAATTTAAAATGTTTGCAATGTTTATTTTTAAATATGTTTATCAACCTTAGTGAAAATACAACTTCTTTCTTGTATTATTTTACAGAGAAAAAAAGCTGTTAATATCTTATTAGCTATCAATATTTAAATACTGTTGAGTGATATTTTTAAGAGTGATCTTAATGAATTTTTTTAAAACTAGGACCAAATATTTTTAAAGTATTAGCTAAAAATACATCTATTATGAATAAGTCTTATAATCTCTACACAGTATACTTAGAGTACAATTAATAAATATAAATGTTATCACAGTTGACATATTAATATTTGCTAAAGAACTGATTATTGCATAGGATAATATTTCACTATTACTTTTAAACTCTTCCCAATCATGGGAATGCTTAATTGGGTAAGTGTGATATACCAACAATCCACTCATTTCCTAAACAGCAAATATTTGCCAAGATTGGAACTCACAAATCATAAAAACCTAATTCTGACACTATATTGATACCTCATTTTTGAAAGAGTAACAAAATACTTGGACACATAAATGCTTAATTCCATCATGAAAAGTATTTTACGATAGTATTGGAAATTTCTTATGACTGTTACACTAATTCTTCACAATTGGTGTTTCCTTAGACACAGGAGAGGAGTGTGATGCTTCAATTATACTTCCAGACTTTGAATATGCACTTTACATTGTTTTTAGACTTGGTGGCTAACAGTGCTTCTCTGAGATTCTCTGCACGATATTTCTGGTATCCTCAGAGTTACTTCTTGCCTTGAGTGATGTAGTCCATTAAAACAACACCCAGTAAAAAAGTTCTCTGTTCTTAGCAATGTCACATGTACTTTTGCTGAGGATTGTGACATACATGTGCCCTTTGCACAAATGTATTTACAGTTGATACTTATCTGAATTTCAGTATTTCCCTAAAATTCTCCCAAATTAATGAAGGCATTACTGTTAAGTCACTATCCAATTGGGCATGTGTGTCAGGCATACAGATTCTTTAATACAGAATTAGGAAATTCATTGTACTTACGGCATTCACAGCCCACTCTGTGAAAGGATGTAAACCTGCACTGCTAGAGCTGTTACTCCACTGCTCTTGCTGCAAAAGCAGAAGGGCACTGTCCCTCAGCAGATCAAGGCATTTGGTACCTTCCACACAGGAGATAGGCATTCCTATAAGTAGACTTCCTAATGTTATTTTTTTTAGTCCTCACTGGTATCATAGAATACCCAGGCTCATATGTAAAAATCAAATCAAAATATTTTTTAAAACTCCTTAAATATAGAACCCTGAGCCACATAGAAAACAATTATAAGTTTTTCATGTTCTCTGTGACTTATGACATGCAGGCACTAAAAGCGTATCTTCCATGTGAGCTGCATAAGAGAAAAATTGTATGTGATCTAAGATGCTTTGCACTGTAATCTGTATGACAGTAACAGTGCTGTAAAGAATTCATGTAGGGGAAGACCCTTCACAGGAATTCAAGCACTAAGAATTGTATTAGTAAGTAGGACTTAAAATTAACATACTTTCTTTTTAGTGAGTGTAGAAATATTTATATTAAGAAAAAATAGCCTTCACTTAGTGACAGAGATGTAATAATAATAGATAACAGAAACTTTCTTCAGTAGCCAGGGAAGAGCTGTAGAAATTTATTATTATTGTTTTTCTTGTAACAAGTCTATTCAAATCATCTGTGTATCACAACTTCATGTTAGGAGCAAATTAGCTTAGCTTCAATATTCACTGATGCATTTTATTGCATTCTGACTAAAGCCATATCTTGCAGACTTCTGAAACTTACCCTTTAATCCACTGCATGCAAAATTACATTATAAATATTAAAATATATATGACAGTGGAAAGTTATTAAATTTACTTCTGAATTATATAGCTGCTAGCCTCAAGCATGAAGTAGTGATAATTACCTCCGAGCTGTAATTAATTGGGCAAATAAATTGTTAAATTTTAGATGCTGATAAATAGGAGAAAGAAGCTAAAAAACCACAGCAACTGTCAGCAATATTTTAACTAAGGAATTCTGAATAAGATAAAATTACAGCCAACACATTTATAAAACAGCAACTAAAAAGAGACTATGAGACAACAGTAAAATACATTCTCATAGAATGGTTAGAATTCACTGCAATTTAAGGCATCAACAACCTCAGTATTTCAAAAGTTATTACTAATAAAGAAATTACATATGAGGAAGTACATTCAAAGACAGATTTTTCTAACCTACTTTCAGACAAAGTACAAATCACAGTTGAGAAGAAAGAACCATCCATTACCTACAGAGAATCTGGTGTACATACAAAATAAGTGAAGTAGTAAGGCAGGGAAGAGAAAACAAGAATAGAAAATTAAAGAGGACACTTACTGGGGAAAACCACATCACTTTAAGAATCCAAATTGTCAAAGAAAAATTCACAACTAGGATGATAAGCAGGAGGAGAACAAATAGGTAGAGACAACGCTTTCTCCAGCCATAAATTCCAATTTTGTAGATATATTCATTCTTCGGCCTCTCTAGGCTCGTGCCTGGTGTTGTTGTTGTATATTGTTCACGTACCATCTGCTATGTAAAAGAAAAAAAGAAAGGGAACTGCTTAGTTGTTTAATTGAAGTGACAATATTTATATAAAACTCCAAGGAAAATATGAAGATATAATTTTAATAGCTGGGAACCAGAAACTCTTATGAAATTTTACCTGGAAAGTATTTTCATTGTGCCCCATTCAACTTACATCTCAGCTTTTGATACATGCAACGTGATGTTTTAATATATGAACTGCATTAACTGCTTTTTTCAGGAGGCTTAAATTTATTTCATCTTATAAAGAATGACAAAACTTTCTACCCATTTGTAATAATATTCTAATTCTCCCATCATAAAATATTTCATGGGATCGTATCATAATCTACAGCTCACAAGTGTGTATCAGTTGGAATGTCAATATATATTAAGCTTCAGAATATGTATGTAAAGAAATGAAATTATTCCTTATGTTGTACAGGAAATAATGATTTCTCAATTTATCAGATATTCATATTTAAAGATATATCAACATTAAAAACATTGCCTACTGGGTTTAAACATCTTTATACTAAAGTTTTCAAAGAAGCATTGTTTGAATTTAAAGGCATCTTACAAAGGAATCTTCCTCAAAACATGAGAATATTCACTAACTTCCAGTTTTGCAGCACAGAGATCACCAACAATTCAAACCATTTATTAAAGCTTACAATTTTGGCCAAAAGAGTGAAAACTCAGCAGCTGAAGCTGCTTATCAAGAAGAATAGTGGGCAATATTTGTCTCATTTACACCGAGACAGAGCAAAAAAAAAACCTACAACCCAATCATAGCTGTCAGAAACAAACTATGCATTATAAATTCAAGCCCTTCCCATGAGCCAGGTATGTCCACAGGCATCTTACATCCAAAACCTGGTCCACTTTCCTATAAGATAATGCTTCCAATGAGAGTGCCTTCAGAAAGGTTTCACACAAGGTCTACTCTCAATTCTGAATTTCCTGCTATCAATGAGATCACCATGCTCTGCTCACACAGCTTTCAAAACATGATCAAATGACATCCTTGTCTCTGTTCAAGTTTCCTGCAGAGCCATCCTGTGTCTGTAACACGCTTGTGGCTCTCAGTCCTAACCCTCATCTTTAGAAAGATATCATCTTTTGTTCCTGTAGCTTCCTAGCAAGACAGAGAATGCTATATCAGCTTACAATTGAACAGAATGCATTAGCCAAATCGACCAAAAAAAAAAAAATTCTTGTTTATATATTTTCAAAAATTAGACCAAATAATTGGCAGTTCATAATGTAACTTTGCTTAAAGACATTATGGTATAATATTATAATTTTTTTTTCTGCTATCAGTTTCAGTTGGTCATAGACTTATGTATATAAATATTTTCATTGCTGAAAATAGTATAACAACTTGTTACTGAGGAATTACAGATTCTTAAATAACTTGGCTTAGCATTAGTGCAAAATGCTTACAAGATTTACAAGATGTTACTTAATATTCACCATATGAACTATGTATGTTTAAAAACATTGGATTAAGTATTTTAGCTCTGTAGATTACTCAAGAACATAGTACTGATTACAGAATGCTGTATCATAAAGTTGATACTATTTTTTTTCTGTTTTCTACCTAATTATTGTATAGGAAACCATTATTACTCACACAGAGGCTGCCCCTTACCTGAAATCTCTGTTACTGTGTGCTGCCATGAGATATTGGGACATTTATACATACAATGGGTTCCATAAGATGCTTAGACAAACCTTTACCCTTCCACACAATTTTCTTCTCCACACGTAACTTACAGAATAAGACACAGTAACTCTTATCTGGTAACAACAAGAGACAAACTGAGAAATAAGCTGTGCAGTAACTGCTCATGAGTAGTACAACTATGTCCTGGCTCTGGCCAGGTTAATATTTCCAGCAGCCAGGAGCGGCATGGCTGGGACTCTGAGGTTATCCTACAACCTGGTGCCATGTGCAGGGGGTGGTGGGGGAAAAGGGCTCCCTTCTAGTCCTGCTGTACACAGGTGAGCGGTCGGGGTTGCTGGTTTCTGTGTGGCGAGTACTCACATATAAATTTGTTTGCATCTCTTATACGCCCCCTTCACAAGGCAGACTGCTTTGCCTATTCCTCGTGTTTCTGTTCCCTACACCTCCAATGTAAATTTTGCAGTAGAGACCATTTGCCAAAGAGTTAATTAATTGTCACAACTTCATGCTCTTATACAGCCTCATTACAGTGGTCTCTGAGGTCGGAATTCATCTCACAACGTTAGATATGAACAATTTAGCCCTGAATATGTGAGCCAGTCAACCCGGACTCCCTTCATGGTTAACGGAGATAGGTCTCCCTGCTGGGAATTATTTATCTGACTTACGTTAGATGTGAATTTTAGACATCCTATGAACTGCTTAACTTCTCTCCATCAAGAGAAAGAGAGAGCCTGGGATGACTTTCCCATACATGTATACCTATATGTTGTAGACATTTCAACCAGAATGATTTCCAAAAGCAGTAATTTTACAAGATAGGAATTTTCTGATTTCTCTTCTTCTCTGTTCCATTTTTACCCTGCTGTAAAATGTTTATTTTGTGAGTTGAGGGTTTTATACATAATGTATTATGTACTGCTGTTTAATGAGGTGAGGTCAAAATCCATTATGCATTTCAGCAAAAAGCCTATGAGTTTTGTGATTGTTTTCAGCCCTTCAGAAATTCCACAGGGGACATCTCCCAGCACAGCATTGTTCCCTGCATGAATTATTTTTTCCTGACAGAAAACAGTTCTGTTGTTACTGAGCATTATTAATACTGACAAAAATTGCTTTGGTCATAGTAAATAGGCAGTGTCGGCCTAGACAACTGAATGCTTTGAGAAGGATTTTCTCCCTAACATAATATTTCATTATTTTTAAGAGAATTAGTGTCCTACTATTACATAATTACAACAGAAATCCTTTCAGAACTGATACTGTTGGACTGCTTCTTTTGAGAGAATCAACCTTCCACACTACTGACTTACATGTTCTGTACAAGCTGAAATCACATAGGAAAACAATCTCAGACCTGTCCGGAGAGATCAGAGGGAAATCTTTTTATAAGTCTGGGATGTTTTAGAAAGGTAGGCTGAAAGGAAAGCCTTAGATAGGCAGACCTCATAGTTGTTTTGTGAAGTCTGCCAAGATTCAAGAAAGACTCATGGAAGAAGAACAACAGGTACTTTGTACTACAATGAGAAATGGGATTTGTAAGTGGAATAACCATGAAACTAGTTGTGTAGGAGCATTCTAAACAGGCACCAAGAAAGAAGTGGTGACTTAGACACTTGGATGTACACAATTTAGTTGGAGAAGCAAGAAACCTGCAGAATGCACAATGACTCTGGTAAATGTTATCTTTGTGTTATTTTACAAGGAAGCAGCATACAGTGACCAAGAGTTAAGAAATACTGGCAACCTACAGTGCAGATTAAATGGCAATTGAATTTCAGAATGAAAATTCTTACGTCTTTCATATGGTCCACGAAAATGTCCTATTTGCATCAGGTCAGCAGTACCACAATAAACAAACTACTACAAATAAACTACTTAATTGGAAGCGGAATTTCTTGGTGTTCCTATTCAAGGGCCACTACAATCAGCACATTTCTTATGGATTTTTGTAGATTTGGCCATAATTCATGGGATCAAGCCCTGTCACAATAGTTTGTTATTTAGAAATAGTTTCCAATTGTCATAATCTATTTTACTGGAATCCATTTAAACCAAATTACTTCTTGTCTCTTTGCTGATTTAAACAAGATACTGAATGCTAATTAGCTGCCAAAAGATTTTCACAGATTTTAAATGACAGATCAAACTCATGAATAAGCAGTAACACTGCAGATTTTTGACCTCATGAGATTTCCCATGTGTTCAGACATTGTGTGTGTTGCATGTAAGGCATGAAATTCATGCCTGTAGTAATACATATGAGCTGCCCATGAAAGATCTGTATGTTCTTCACACTTACAATTGTCCACCAAAAATATATAACCATGACAGAACATTTCCCTAGCTCTGGTGCACCTTCTTCCATGCAAGGCTTAGAAACTGGTCTCTGTCATTTGAGTGATTCTGAGGTCTAGGAGGTTTTTATGTTAATATTGATTAATGAAAGACATTGAAAAACTGTCTATCACTAATGTTAGTGTTGGACAGAGATTAGTTTGGGCATCAAGTTCAAACAGCTATTCTGACAGCTCTACACTTAACATTCACTTAAGACAGCTATGTTTTTAAAATTTGAATACTTATCCTTTAACCTGCTTATGAAAGCAAGCCTGAGTGAAAGCATGTTATTTGTATTATTTTCAAGAACAATTTATCTGTAGGAAATACTGAAGACGGAATATTAATTCAATTAAAATAAGTAATCTCAGTATATTCCAACTAAAAATGTGTTTTCATTGTTTTTGTTCATAAATGGCTGTTATTTTCATGCAAATAAAATTCCCCTTTATACACAGTTCAGAACTGTGTCACTCAAGTACTTCGTCATGTTGTCTTAATGCAACTGTTAATAACATACAATTAGAAAACAATCTAAATACAGAACTACTTGGTTAACACCAATAACCAGCTGTAATTACATTAATAATAATTAATATTAATAATTATTAATATTTCATGTTTTCAGCAAAGAGACAAAAAGCTTAGCATTCAATAAAACCTTTTCAAATCAGAGTTCAGAAGAACTGGTGAGGTATCACAGTGAAATTTGCACCACTGGTGCTCGTACTATGCTTGTTCTTCTTCCTGAAGAGTCATCAGTCCATCTACTCTTCCCTCTTGTTCTGGTTTTGGCCAGGACAAGGTTAATTTTTTGCGTCAGCTGGAAGGAGACACTGTTGAATGTGGGTGTGTCCAGGACCCTGATGTTTTTCTATACCCCAGCAGATCATAGCCAGGGGTGGGGGAGAAGGGACTCTGGCTTTTGAGGAAAAGGGCATTCCTTTCAGAGGACGAAAACATGTTTGGGAAGAAG